AGCCTCACCTGACTCCAGTAGGAGCTCAACTCTAAGAAGTAGGATGCTTTTTGCCCTCTGAATTGTACTTAAAATAATTTGACTTAAGCTTTGATAAAAAGCTAGGTCAATAATTACTCACTCAGGACCAGTTTCTGTCAGTGGGCTGCACTTCCCAAAGCTCTGTTGATATTTGAATGACAGTAGGAATAAAAAGGCAAAGGTCATGTTGAATTCAGCTCAGGAGGTGGAGTGTTTTCCAAAACTGCTGTCCCGGCAAGCACACTGAGTAAGTGGGACAAGTGATTATTGAGGGTATATGGATGAACATTTTAGGGAAACACTCAAGAATTCCAAACATTTCCTGTGACAAGAATGCATTTCCCATCTATGCATCACAAGGAAAATGATCATATTTCATAGCATAATGTGACATGCACTGATCACCTATGGTGAAAGTCCCAGAAAGCTAACTCAGGACCCAAATAACGTTCCCTTTGTTCTTCTTGGTTCACTGGACCTCTTTCAAAGGACAGCTAGTGTCTTCCTTGTTTGACTCCCCATGCTGCTGCAAAATGTAAATGTTTGATCAATGTATTTGTATTTGTAATCAATGCGGGTAGCAGCTTCTGACTGTGCTGTCAAGTCCCTCAGTCTGAAAGTTTGTGCACTCATAAGGTCACTGGAAAAAACAGTCTTCTCACATGACAGTTAATTCCATGCCTAAAAAGCAGGGCAAAGTCCAACTGAAGTAAGGTATAGATTAGGGTATTGGAGTAGGAGCTGTTACCTATTGTTGGTTCCAAAGAAAGACAGAGTGGAGTTGAATTTGAGGGAATTGAACTACATCTGGGCCTAAAGCAGAGAAAAGAAATTAATTTAAATAAAAATATTGGAATATTGTAGAGGACGCATAAGACAGTTCTGCTCCATGTGAAACTGAGATTTCTGAGGGTGTTATTCTATGGGAGCATTTCCCTTTATATGTGTTACACATGGCTGTGCAGAGAAGTAAGCAGATGATCTTGGATTGTTTTTAACTTTTCTGTTTTTAAAGCGGTTTAAATTCTCACCACAGTTAAGCAGAAAGCACTGATATTTTCCACATATGCCCCGTGCCTACCCAGGGACAGCCTCCTCTACTGTTCACATCCCACGTTGAAATGACATCTGTGTTACAGTTTATGAGCCACACTGACACATCAGCCTCATCCAGATTCCATAGTTTGCACTTTGATTCACTCTTTGTTCTATGGATTCCATGGATTCTCTGGATTCTATGGGACAAATGTGTAATGACTTACTTCCAGCATTACACTCTGGTATCATACAGAGTCCCTTCACTGCACTAAAAACCCTCTGTTCTCTTTCAGACATTCTCTCCCATTCCCCAGATTGCCTTTTTATTCAGCAGATCATTCACTTTGCTGAGCAGAAATTACTTAGTTTAATGTTGCTTAGTTTTCTTTATTCCCTATCTTGGCTGTGCTCTTTTGGTCATATCTAAGAAATCATTGTCATGACCAATATCAGTAAGATTTTGCCTGTGTTTTTTTCCAGAAGTTTCAATATCTGGTTTTCATTTAAGTCTTTAATCTCTTTCAAAGTGTTTATTTCACAGCGTATCGGGGTACAGTGATTTTTTTTGCATGAGGACGTCCAGTTTTTCTGACTCTATTTGTTAGCAAGATCATTCTTAACCTCCAATGTGTTCTTGACCTGTTTGTAAAATGCCAATTCACTGTACATGGTGAATTTACTTCCAGATTCTCTATTCTTTTTCATGGTTGGTGTATCTGTTTTCATGTAACTAACATAATTCTTTCATTATTGTAGCTTTGTACTATATTTTGAAATCAAGAAATGTGATACCTCTAACTCTTGACTATTCTGAGTACTCTTTTGAAAGAGTTTCACTTTAATTTATGGACCACTGCAAAGTTATATTCCATAATTAATAGAGATCATGATAGGCATTGAGGGTAAACAACCTCTTGGAACCAAAACCTGTTACTCATTAAAAGCATGACTTGTGTTTTCCTCTGTGGTAGTCAGGGAATTGAGGCCCTTTTTACTAAAAAATGTGGTCTTGAATTTGTTGTATATATTCCGTATAAGTAACTCAAAGCATAAGAACGCTTGAGCTCCATTTCTATGTCTTCGTTACTACATTAAAACATCAAGTTAAATTCATTATCAGTTCTGCACATAGCTTTGGTCCTTATTTCAGTGACAATGAAAATTAAAACAAGCCATCATCAGAAATTTTACCCCCAAAGCTTCAATTGGAAAGTAAGAAAGAATGTTACTGGCATTTAGCTTTTGCAGTTGAAAGCTAGAGGGCATAGCAGTGACAAAGATCAAGCTTGTCCCATACCAATGGAAGTCAGATAAAACAACAAAGTCTCTTTACCTTGAGCACCTGAAGGAGAGGCCACAGTTCTGATGAAAGGGTTCAGATTGGCCCATTCACAAAAGAAGTGGGCCAGATTTCATGCATTTGCTGGAGTGAGCAAGAGTCAGGTTCCACAAGGTCTCAGCACTGCTTTGGCAGGATGGTTGAGGAAATGTCCTTACTGCTTGAGGAGGAAGCCAGTCTTCATGAGATCACTTGCTCTTCTCAGCCCTGTGAGGCTCTGTTCAAATCTAAGGTAACCTAGGTTCAGGGCAATGACTGGAAACATCTGGGCGTAGCTGAGTGTTCCCGTAAATCACTTATCTTGGTGTCCTCAGTGTGGAAGGGGATGAGATATGTTATGCACAGTCAGGGCTATCAACCATGTTTTGCCAGCTTTCGGATGGATGCTCTCTAAATGATAACGTGCCTGTAGGCAGAGCTGAGAAGGGGTTTGACTTAAAATTTTATGGTCGTAAAGGTGACGTAGAGAATGAAGGTCAAGTGTTGTTCTGCCTTTAGTTCTCTCCTGACCATCTGCAGGCCTAATGAACAGTTGTTGCTTTTTAGCACAAACATTTCTCTCAAGCTCCTGGAGCCTTGGAAGAAAATGAACATCATGCTTTTAATGAGTAACAGATTTAGGGCCCAGCAGTGTGTTTGTCCACTATGCCTATGGGCAGCTTGGTGGTTCATTTGATGTCATTCTCCTTTTCTCTTCTTTTTTTTGGTACCAGGAATCAAACTCAGGGCCTCATGTTTCCTTCTCCTTTTCTTACTCATGCTTCTTTGTAAGCTGAGAGAGCATTTGTGAGACTGAACCCACGGCCTGCACACTGAGCTACATTCCCAGGTCTTTTTCATTGTTTATGTCAAGGCAGGGTTTTGCTACATTGACCAGGCTGCTCTGGAACATGAGAGCTTCCTGCCTCATGTTCCCAGCCCATTTTACACAAGCACAGACGTTTGGGTCAGAAGAGTTTTACATCCTGGACAATTCTCAGCCAGTGGGAACTGGATACTCTTTATTTTCCTTCAAAGAGCAATTTTGAAATAGAGTAGTACCTGTTTTACAAACATCTCTGTTTGCAGATAATTTTTTGTTGCAAACAAAAGCTTTTTGCAAAATTTTGCTTCCATCTGCAAACTCTGCATCAGGTAACAAACATGACCATGAACATCTCCCTTACACAAACAGAAACAGAGCCAACTCCCTTAAAATTGTAAAACCAATTAAGTTTGTAAACTGAGGCATCACTGTACATTGGATATACTTCTTCGATTAATCCACTAGGGGATTGGTGTCTAATTCCCCAGCATGGACACCAACTCAATACTTTGCTTCTTCCCTTTTTTCCATTTTGTCTCTTTCATTTTTCCTTTCTCCTCCCTTTCTGTGGCTTCCTGCAATATGTCCCAAATACTAAACTATGTGAATGTAACTCTCCTTTCCTTGCAGGGAGGACCTAAGTAAAAACACATCCCCATAGGAGCTTCAGACCTCATCACTTCTCCTCATTTCAATAAACCTTTAATAAAGCTCCATTAAAGCCAATGTGTATGTTAGAAATATATGCGGGCAACACTATTATTTTGTGTAGATGATTGTTTTTATAAGTGGATTTACACTTTAGCCTAATTTGTATATAATAAATTTACATTTAATAATTTTTATAATTGATTATAGGTTTCAATGTACTTTATTTTAAAATCAATAATTTCCTATAGATTCCATGCTGATATTAAAAATCAGTTTCCAGGAGAAAGTGAAATTATTCCAATATTACAAAATAAATTAAGTTTTTTGGTAACCACACGATAGCAGTACCTATAAGCTCTGCCTACTGAAGTGGAGTCTTGTGAAACTTGAATGTCAAGTGCATTGTTTCTTAGCCTATGATTAGAGTGGACAGAAATCCCACCACCAGGTCCTCATAAACTTCACCCTCATCCACCTGACTCAGTGTAGCTGGTGGCAGCATGCCATGTGCCCAAATGTAGGGCTTCCTTGCTCACTCACAGGGGCTGGCAGACCTGAGTAGGTGTCCCCCAAATAAAACAGACTTTCCTGTACTACATCTGACTATGTGCCGTCATCACTCATTTATCTTTGGCTTCTCCATGTGTTGTGGGAGTTAGATATTTATTCATGCAGACCTGTGTATGTATGGCCCAGGCGTCTCAATAACAACTCACATGAATGAAAACCAGATGAACAGAGAGATCCCTCCTTGTCTGCTAAAAAAAGTGAAGATGTTTTACATGTTTGATGCAAATGATTTTAGAAGTATGCACTCAAATATCCATTCTGGAATAGATCCAGTAACTTGTAAGACAGTGACACACGGAGTGGTGGTAGTGCTCTGTAGGTTGTTGCACTACACACACTAAAGCAACGATCAGCAATCTAAGGCTGATAGGTCAGACCTGCACAGGATCTGTATGTGAAAATAGTTTATAGGAGCACATTCATTTGCATGTTGTCTCTGGGTGCTCCGGATGAGTAGTTGCAATGCAGACTCTGAGGTCTGAAATATTACTATTTGCTCTTTTAGGAAAAATGTTTCCTCAGAGAAAGGAGATGGTGAGAAGGCAGAGGGAGGAGGAGAATGCTCCCTGCCCCGCACAGCCTCCTCAGGCATTTGCGACGTCACCTGCCATTGCCCACTCTGCCCTTCATTCCTCTTTTTACTCCACAAACTTTTATGCTCACTTCCTTACTGACGAAAACTGTGCCTTTAAAACTGTGCCAATTGTGTTCATTTCTTTATGAAGTAGCTATTGATTTTAGGAGAGGTTCTGTGTATTAGTAAACCATAGGAATATTGAACAAAGTATCAGCAGTGAATATTTGTGGATAATACAGTGAGGGGTTGTTGATTTTTATAGTTATTTGTCATCACTTTTTCAATAATGTATTAGAGATCAAGTATGTGCTTACTATTCCCTATATTCGGGAACATGTGTTAAAAATATCAAACGCCCTTCTTCAGAAAAATACCTGGGACTTTCTGCTAAGAGAAACATGCTTGAAGTAGTCGTGACTTATGTAACTTTGTTTGTATTTGTGCCACGTATGTTCCGTTTTTCCTGTGTGCGAGGACACAGCATCTACTGGTGAGCTGTGCCAAGAAGAGAAGTGGGGAAGCCTTCCAAGATGAGGAGGACAGAAGAGAAGGGGTGTGAATCTGTTGACCGAGGTGACCCTGGAGTAACTGTGGCCTTTCTGACCTCTCACTCTCATCTCTGCCCCAAACATCCTCACTCAAGCTGTAGTCACAAGTCTCAGACTTGCCTCTGCTGGCATTTGACGATGGTAGCTGGTGGGCAGGAAGTTTTAGGAGCACGGACCTGTGAAAATAAGCTGAGAAAGGACCTTGAAAAGAAGCTGCTACCTCTTCAAGTTTTCTTCTTGTTTCAGGTAAAGCCCCCACAGGAAATGGTTCCTTGCCGAACCATTTCAACAACTCAGAATTGCCCTGTCACTCTCCTACGGGGCCCAGAGCAAATGTTCCTCCTGATATACCTTTAGGTATTCACTGCCATCTATCATCTTTAACCATGTGATGTATGAAACAGCATGACGCTTTCACTGAGCATGCTCAGAAGTGTGCCCGCCTCTGTATGTGATAACCACTCTCATGAATATGCATTAGTGTCCCCAGTAAATTAAACACTACTTTGGAAAGTATCCCCAGTGCTCTCCTTAATCGCTGTGAGTAGTAAACCTTTCTTCACTCTTTTATCTCCAGAGTGTGCTTATCAACCTTTTACTTACCACGGCTTGAACACAGTTTCTTGTTTTAAAATATGAATGTGAATAACTTTACTTTGAATTTCAATTTCAGTGCAGGAGTCCATTCATGGAAGGAGTACCTTCCTTACTACTTTTGTTTGTTTTGGCATATATGGAAGAGGAACAGAGACTTGAAAGAGACCAAGCAGTGAGTTAGAAGCGGCTGAGAAGTGTGCTTGGGTCTGTGGTGCTGGGAAACAGGTATGTCCACTGTTTTTGTTCCTGAACTTAGTCTTGATCATGATGTGATTTCTGATTTCTGATTTCTGCCAGCTGGGGAAAGCACAGGGTGGGGAAAGGCAGCTTTCCTGTTGTGTCTACTGAGAAGTCAGTGGCTGAGCTTACCTCTGGAGAACTCAGTTTCCCCCCGTTGGGCAGTGAAAGCTGGGAGGGGACAGCCAGACACACAAAGCCCCAGATGCACTTCTCCCTGCTCAGCTCAGAGCTGCAGGAAGTGGAGCGGGGAGAGCCCTGGACAGGTGTTTGCCTGCCTGTCTCAGGCCCTGCAGTAGTTCTGGGATACAGAGAACATGGCCACCCTCACCCAGCAGCTTACAGACAATTTTTTAAAAATTTTTTTTAAAATTTTTTTTGTTTTTTTTCCTGGTACCGGGAATCAAACGCAAGACCTCTCGCTTGCCAGGCAGCCACTGTGCCGCTGAGCTAAATCCCCAGCCCCAGATAATTTAATAAGGAGAGATTTTTTTAAAAAAATGTTTGTTTTTTTTTTTTTTTTCCGGTTTTTCTCCAGTACCGGGAACCGAACTCATGACCTTGCGCTTGCCAGGCAGGCGCTTTGCCACTGAGCTAAATCTCCAGCCCCTAAAAAAATGTTTCTTATAGGCCAACTTCAGATAACTTCAATATAAGAGCTCTGTGATAATCCATGTAGAAATAAATGTAGTTCTAACTGAATCTCATTGGTGAAAAATAACTACATAAACAAAACTCTTTGTGTGAGATGTCCCCCCTCCACATGGGGACAGCTGAGTCACCTGTGGTACTTGTTAACATACAGATTTTTTTAGGCCTGGAAATCTGGGTTTTAACCATCTCTTCAGATAATTCTTACGTGTATCCAAGTTTGAAAATCATTCCTGAAGCAGGACTAACAGATGTACTTGTTTAATACAAAGTTAAAAGTCCTGTATTTTATTTGTAGCTAAGAAATGAGGGAGGTTTATATGATGTATAAATTAAGAATCTAATTGTCCTAGAGATTCCTTTAATCCTCCCTTCAGAGATGGGATCACACAATTTCAGGAATGGTAAGGCAGGTGCTGGGGTTTGTGCTTCACACACATTCGTCTGAAGAAGCTGACCAGGGGAGGTTGTACAGGAATGCTGATTTGAACTTGACTACTGTGCTGCTCTAGTGTGAAATTTATGTGTAGCTTTTTTCTGAGTAACTTATAACATGGTGGTTGTGTTAAAATGTGTACTCTAATGGAACACTGTATAGTATAATTATTAGAATTAAATTTCCATTGAACTCGACCAATTCTACCTTGTAATGCATTCCATGCTAAGATATCAGTGTATATGGTTCTTTTAATTACCACAAGAATCTTCAGGTGGATTGACAATTTTGTTCACATTAGCTTTCTAATTTCCCATACATCTTAAGCTCAATTAAATGAAGCTCCTTGTTGAAGTTCACACAAGTAAGTACTCAGTCTGACATTTTTAAGATACTAGTTTAATTTTGAATATTTGGCATACTGTAATGGAGTGAATATTTCTGACATTGGTTTGTTTGTTTTTTTTTGTTTTGGTTTTGCTCCGGTACTGGGAACCGAACTCATGACCTTGCGCTTGCCAGGCAGGCGCTTTGCCGCTGAGCTAAATCCCCAGCCCCTCTGACATTGGAATATAATATAATGTCTACATATTCTGATCATGAACAGTACACCTATACCATGGAAAACCATTTTAATATAATGGCAATCAAGAAGTGCCAGGAGGTCCATGGGATAACTCTGCTCATAATATCTAATAGTTTATATTAAACATATACCTCAAGAAAGTTTTGGTGAAATCCCATGTCATTCACCCAGGTTCACCTAACAGTGATGTTGGCTTTCTCTGTCTCTGTCTCTGTCTCTGTGCCTTTCTCCCTCTCGCTCTGTCTTGTTATGTCTCTGTTTCTCCTTCTCATATATATATGAGGAAGACTAAGAATGATGCATATAACACCTTGCTCAGACTGGCCTGGAACTCAAGGCTTAAGCAGGACCGAAGTGGTCTTCCCATCTCTGCCTCAGGAGTAGCTGGAAATACAGACCTAAACCACCCTGCCTGGGTCTTCTTTTTAGGACGGGAGACTGCATTCATTAGATAAGTCTCATTCCTGTAGATCCTCAAAGCCCCACTTCTAGCTCCTACTCCCATCCTTTCTGTAAACCAGGAGATAACAAACCTCATAGGCCACCTGCTGGATACTAGAGTATATTTGAGTATATGGTGGTCATAAAAGCTGTTGCATGTTCCTGATCCAGAAGCTTACAGGATAACCAAGCCTGGTGAATGTTACGCTGAAGCCAAGTAGGTCATTGCAGCAGCATAGCACAGAAAAGTAGGTCACTATATTTTTCTGATTTTGTGTTTTATGTTTTGGAGGTGATAACATGTAAATAATGAAATGTATTGTTTTAGAAATTTTAAAATGTCTTTGGGTATATTGTTGTGGCTGCCCCCATGACCTGAATCAATTGAAAATGTTTACTTTTCATGGTGATTTTGACTTTGGGAAGGTGCCAGAAGTAGGGAATAAAGTGAACGAACACACGCTGTATTGGTTTCACGAGCTGGATTTTTTATTAGACAGCACTTGGCAGCAGCAGTCACTGTTTATTTTGATTGTACCTCATGAAGATATGGAAGAGACTTCCAGAACTGTTTAGAAAGTGGTGAGAATAATGGCATAAATGTGTTTAAAAGAGTTTGACTTATTTAAGCAGGATTAATAGCAATGTCTTTTACTATAATAAATGTTTGCTTTATTTTATTTATTTTGTTTTGTTTTGTTTGATATTTTTTTGAGACAGGGTCTTACTGTGTAGTTCAGCCTGGCCTTGAACTCTCTATGTAACCTAGGCTGGCCTCAAACTCACAGTGATTCTCCTGCCTCAGCCTCCCAAATGCTGGGACTACAGGCATGTGCCACCATACCTGGCTTGTAATAGATGTTTAAAATTTGAACATTCATTGTATATTTTGATCCCCCTGTATTCACATTGTGCAACCATAACTGCAAAATGCCTCTAGCACTTTTCATCATTGCATACAGAAACACTTAGCTTTTAAATTGCCCATTTCGTCCTCCTCCCAGCCATGGTAACTACTCTCCTAGTTTCCAACTGGGTGTATCTGTGGTAGGTTCCCCGTAATATTTGTCTTTCTGTCTGGATTCTCTCACTTTGCATTCTGCCTTTGAGGTTTATCTGTGTTGTGGCATACATTCAAAATTTCACTCCATTTTATAGCTGAGGATACATGCCCTATTGCATGTGTGTGATCTCTTAATCCATTCATCTGTAGTGGAACTTTGAATTCTTTCCACATTTGTCTCTTATGAATAATGTTGCCGTGATCATTGGTGTGCAAATGTCTGATCAAGTCCTTGATTTCCATGTGTGTGTGTGTGTGTGTGTGTATGTGTGTGAGTGCTTGCTGTATATGCCCTATAGTAGAATTGTTGGACCAAAGGCTAATTTGTTTAATTTTTTAGTAGCACTGCTATGTTCTTTTCCATAATAACAGTAAAACACTTTAAATTCCTAGGAGCAATGCACTAAGGATGCATTTCTCCATATCATACTACCTATTGTTTTCTGTTGTTATTTTGTTTGTGATACCAGCCATTCTAGAGGGTGTGATTTTGACTTGCAATTCTTGTATTTTAAAGCAAAATTAGAGTGGAGAAGAGGTGTGCCAAATTCTCAAGTAAACAAAATCAAGTAGGCCTTTAAACTAGTTTTTCTTTGCTTAAAGTGTGAACATAAGCAAAGCCTGGTTTATACTTTTTACATACAAGCTTATGTAAGACATACATAAAACAACCTGAGCTACTGAGAAACACTAGCATATGATGATGCAACTGAAACTTTTGAACAAGGTAACTCAAAGAAGGCCACTTTATAATTTAGCCTGTCAGACAATTTCTTCATGTTTGTTACTACATTTTCCCTATAGATATTTGCTTCTGATACTCTCACCAGAACACATATATTAACACAAGCATTTTATCTTTCAGTCTAATATTCTCCAATTCATCAATGGCAACTTCAAATAAAATTCTTTAAAAATACATTTTGTACCTGTGATTAGTGATTTTGAACTTGTTTTCATGTGTTATTGGCCTTTTGCTTCTCTTCTTTAAAGAAATGTGTATTCCTGTCCTTTGTCTACTTTTGTGTTGGGTTTTTGGTTATTCAAAAGTAGCCATAGTTCTTATATTCTGGATAGTAACTCCTTATTGGAGATATGATTTCCAAATATGATTCAATTATTCTATGGGTTTCCATTTTACCCTATTAATAGCATTACTTAGTTCATAGAAGCTTTTATGTTTGATGTAGTGTAGTTTATATTTATTTCCTGTGTTTAGGTATCACATGCAAGAAATCATTGCTATCTGACATCTATGTAAAGCAAAGAAAAGGTCAGAAGTGTTAAACCAAGTAAGATTCACCAGGGGCAGTTAAAGCCTGCGCTGGTCCCCTGGTTTAAGTGAGGGAATTGGAACAAACCAAGCAGCTACATTCTCCATCCCAAGATAATATAGGAACAGGCCTAGAAAAGACAGTGGTGAATTTGCAATCATTATGAATATGGTTTTGTCTGAATTGGATGTTTATGTGGCTCTAGTCACCATTTACCCTTTCAGAATTCCTGTAAGTTTATTTTAGCTTTTTAAAAAATGTCTTCATGGATTGAAGAAGTAGACAGAACTTGGTGGTCTGTCATTAATGTCTGTTGTCTAGGTTTTTAATCCTGTCTCTATGATTTATTCATTCAACCCTTGTATAATGCATTTATCTCATTTGTGAAGTGATTAAAATAAGGTCTACTTTGCAGGTACTTTAAAATATTAAATATGCATGGTTTACCATAGTGTAGGCCACACATTATGGTGATGATTACTTGAGTTCTATGATTATTATTGAAATAAAACTTTGGAGAAATTAATACCCTGTGTTGAATCCAAATCATGATTGACAATTTGGGAGAATGATGGAGGAAGCCTTCTGCATCTGTTAATGTTAGGCTCAGGTTCTCCCACAGACAGTCTAGAAGCCTTGTCTGTCCTGAGTTGATTCATGCTCTGATACTTCTGAGATAAAATTTTATAAACTTATTTCTAATAAGAGACTCTTCTAGGTTGGAAAATTGCTATGGCATCTGAACTAAAAATGGTGGCCCCAATTTGTCTGGTGGAAAACATCAGGGAAGAGATGAAAGTGAACAGGGAAGCCATAGAGATTCTTGAGAAGATTTCTCAGCCAGTGGTGGTGGTGGCCATTGTTGGACTGTATCGTACAGGGAAATCCTACTTGATGAACCGCCTGGCTGGACAGAACCATGGTGAGAGTTAGCATGGGGTTTCTGAAACCAGTAACATTTCAGCTTCTTCTTTTTCCCAGTCAGAACAAGGGAGAACTCAACTCTTCTCAGTAAAGCCAACTTCTCATTCTGATTCTCACCAGCAAATTTTTACCTTTCTCTCATTCACTTCCATATACTTTGTTGTCTTTGGAGAAAATCTCTCCTGCTAATGCTCAAAATTATCCCCCGTCACTGGCTTCTGTGTTTCTTTTCATCCATATTTTGCTTTTGATATGAAATATTCTCATCAATACCTAGAGATCTTTGAGTCTAAAAATCTAAAAATCCTTTTCATGCTTCACATTCTATTGTGACAATCAACTCTTGCTTTTGCTTTGCTTTTCTGTTTAATAGAAAAGCATTATTCCAATTTCCATGTCCTGCTTTTGTTCTTCTCTGGTCTCCGCTCAGTCTGCTCCTCTGTGACTCAGCGCAGTCCTTGTTTCACAATGCTGTTGTTGCAGTCGCCACTGCCCTCAATTTTGTCTGATCCATGGATGTCTTTCTCTTTGTCTTGAGCCCTTGGACATAATCATCATCATGTTTAACAGCCCCTGCTCTTTGGTAGGTAAAACTTTTGTGGAGAAAGTGAGGAAGTCCCACTTTGTCTGCTGAGGTATTTCTCCTCCAAGAAGCCTAAGGTCACAGTCTCCTTGCTGCTGTGGAAGTGCTGATGTCATCATTGTTTTTCTTATTTGCTTCAGGCTTCCCACTGCGCTCCACTGTTCAATCTAAAACCAAGGGCATCTGGATGTGGTGTTTGCCCCACCCCATCAAGCCGGACCTCACCCTGGTCCTTCTGGACACTGAGGGTCTGGGAGATATGGAAAAGGTAAGGTTGAGAGATTCAGGCACATACTTTTGACTCTGAATCGTCTTCTTGTCTTTTCCTAATTCTTTGCAATTTCACTGCTGCTGTCTGTTTATGAAATCAGAAACCGAACTATAATGAAAGAGGTAAACCTTATTCTGTTTAATCTCACTTCTAGATAAAGTCAGATATCATGTTATTTTAGGTAAAATATTCTCCTGTTGCTTGCCATTGGTATTAGTAATTTTATACAATGTTACTAAAACTTACTGAGGAGCTAAGTCCCAGTCTCATGGGTTTAGTAGTGTAGATATTAGTGAACTGCAGAAAGACTGCCAAACAGGGCCTTCAGTTGTACTTAGGAAACTACAGATCTTTTGCAACATGGTGAGCAGGAAAAGTACAGGTTGGAGAGAGAAAGGTGCTGCCCTGTGCAGTGGCTGGCCTCTGTCAATTCTCTGTAGAGAACTGTGGCTGGAGCTGCCCTTTGAATTACCTTTAGTTGGGAGCAGTGTGCTGGGTCTTTATCTTCGGTGTTGATGGGTCCCTAGAATTGGCCTCAGAAGCCTTCTCAGGAAGAGTGCTTACATGTGTCAGCTCTCGTCCATCAACACTGCCAAGAGTTGGGAAAAGAGTTTGACATCTTGGAAGGTGATGCAAACATACAGCACTCTTCACAATGTGCAGTGAGGCATATGGTGGCCGTGAGTGGAAGATGGTGAGGAGTCAGCCCGTCTTGGTGTCTGGTGAAGGGCTTCTGAGCCACATTCTGAGCTGCAAAATGAAGTGCGTATTTGAGGTTATGGTGAATCTCATTAATTACCCATAGAACTTTGTAGAAGTCTCTAAGAAGCCTCTGACTCTCCTGGTTTTATAAATTTTTTCCTTATGATAAATATTCTAAGGTGGATTTTTAGTGTTCGGCTTCCTATAAGTAGGTAAACCAAATGATTCATCTTTTTTTCTTCCTTTGAGACTTGAGAATAGAGTCTAGATTTATATATTACCATGTTGGGTCTGAAGAAGATTTAGAAATTCTGTTTATTCTACTGATATGTATTCAGCAAGTAAAATATACATTAGAGATGTACAACTTGACGCTTTGCTATTCATTATGAAATGAAATCCACAATCAAGTAGATAAATATATAAGCACCGGCCATAAGGATGTTTTAGTGTAAGCATGTGGGATGTAGCCTCTTAGCAAAATTCAAGTATGTGATGTATTCTTAACTCTAGTCAACGTGTGTTCTTTAGATCTTCAGAATTTACTTCATTGCATAACAGAAACATTGTTCCTTTTGATCATCAGTGTCCATTTATCCCACCTTCGGGCCACAAAAATACTCTACTGTCTTCTCTGCTGTTATCAATTCACTCTTTTTTTGACTATTTTAGATTCAACTATTCAGTGAGACAGTGCAGCATTTGCCTTTTGTATCTCGCTTATTTCACTGAGCTCAATGCTCTCAGGTTTGTACTTGTTGATGTAAATGGTAGGATTTCCTTCCTTTTTATGGTGCAGCAAATATTCTCCACGGTTGAGTAAATATTATCTTTAATTATTTATTCATTGATGGGCATTCACAGTATTTCTAACACTTGTCTATTAGGAATAGTGCTGCAGTAAAGATGGAAGTGCAGTCATCTTCCTCAAACACTAATTGCACTTTCTTTGTAACTATACATAGAATGAGTTTCTGGGATTATGTGGTTCTTCTATTTTTGAACTTTTAAGGAAACCCCATAGTATTTTTCCTAAAGGTCATACCAGTTGATATTCCAACCAATAGCTACAAGGATGATTTTTTTTCTCAATCCTCATTAATGCTTGTTATCTCCTGTCTTTTTTATAATAGCCAGGGTACTGTGTGTCATTTTATGTCTCCTTACAGTTTTAAGTGGCATTTCCTGATAATTATAGACTATGAACATCTTTTAATATATCTATTGGCCATATACAGGATTTGTATGTATATTCAAGTTCTTTGTTAGTTTTTAATTGTGTTATTTGATTGGTTTTGCTATGGAGTTACAGGAATTTCTGAATTAACTTCTTATCAATTACATATATTGCAAATATTTCTCTCCCATCCTGTAGTTGTCTTTCACACGGTTTGCTCTTTGCTACCAGGAGTCATTTTAGTGGGATCGTGTCCACCTGTCTAGTTTTCTTTTCATTGCTTGAGCAGTGGGTGTTATATAAAATATAATAACTGTTAAGCAAAAATGCATTAGTGTCCAGCCCAGTATTGAGAAGTTTTACCCATTGTTTTCTCCTCTTAGTTTTATTGGTTCAGATATTTTCTCTACTCTGATCAGACATTTTATACCTCTTGCCAAATATGACCATTTTGTTTTGCATATGGCTGATAGCAAATAAATAGGTTTCTAATAAAGAAATGTAACACTCATCACTCAATACCTTTCTGAGAACCTGACATAGCACTAGTGTTTCTTTAGGTTCAGTTATGTCATCTAACTGAGAGAAAACTTTATGAAGATTAAAATCCACTTGTAGTTTGAAGAAATTGTGAGCACGAGAAATATTACTGCTTTCATGTTATTTGCCTTCTTTGCATAGTGAGTACCTGAGCTGAAATCATAAGTGAAAGACTTTCATGACAGATGTCTGAATGAAATTCCAAAGAGCAGATTCTTAAAATTCTTGCTCTCTCCCCCTGTACTTTCTAGGGTGACCCTAGGAATGACTCCTGGATCTTCGCCCTGGCCCTGCTTCTGAGCAGCACCTTTGTCTACAACAGCGTGGGCACCATCAACTGCCAGGCCCTGGAGCAGCTGCAGTATCCTTCCAGGACCTGAGCCGCTGCATGTCAGTGGCTTTTGAGAAATTGAATATTGAGTCATTTTTTCTTACCCTCTCACTTGCTTGCTTTTGGATCAGAGGGGATCTAGGAAAGAAAAACATTGCTATGATAAGTTCTTGTTAAGGAAATATGGGGAATTTAAGTAGGAATTTCCTTTTCCTTAGCCAAGTCCTAGCTATGTGACAGAGCTCACAGAACTAATCAAAGCAAAGTCTTCCTCAAATTCTGATGGAGTACAAGATTCTACAGAGTTTGTGAGTTTTTTTCCAGACTTCATCTGGGCTGTACGGGATTTCACTCTCCAGCTGAAGCTGGGTGATCATTTCATCACAGCAGATCAATATCTGGACAATGCCTTGAAGCTGATTCCAGGTAGCAGAGCAAAGTCTGGGTGTGGGATTTCTGTAGGGTGGATGTGCTGACGTTCTCCATCATTTCTAGGGATCCCTTTGTATTTGAGACTGGCTGGAGGTCTGTAGGAATGGTGACTGGGCTATAGGTTGAAAGTGCTATGAAAAATAGTATATAATATACAGAGAAATTATTCAAATTCATGTTATTCTTTACACATTTTTTTCTTTAGAATTCAGACTACAATGATTGATAAAACTATCTAAAGCACAGTTACTTTTTACCCTATCTTAGCATCTACTTTTCTCTGTTTAGGAGAACAGCTGATCACAGAATTGTTAAACATGATATCACAGTAAGAGACTCATCTTAATTTGTGTCTTCTTTTCACACAAGTATTATTCTTCTCAAAGAGGATTATCGCTTTCTAAAAGCAAAATTTAACTTTCTGACATTGAACATACAAAATAACAGTATGTCCTAACTAAATTGAAGAAGTATTCTTTTCCTTTTTGCCTTCTGAGTATTTACACAATTACCATGGTGTAAATTTTATTTTATATCGATAATGCAGCTCTCTCTCAATCCTGGCATGTTTATTCATGCTATCATGTCAAAATAAATTATATGAATGAAGATAGGGGCTGGGGATTTAGCTCAGCGGCAAAGCACTTGCCTGGCAAGCGCAAGGTCGTGAGTTCGGTTCCCGGTACCGGAGAAAAACCAA